ATATATATATATATATATATATCAAAATATTTTCAGACAAATTATTGGACAGTGCAAATGTATGGAAACAATAGAAATTTATTAGAGATAAATTAGAGAATGTGTCATATTTATGAATGAAAAAGAATAAGGTAGAAAAAGGATTTGTGAGTAATGAAGGAGACGCAACATGCAATGATCGTATATAGTTGAAGAAATATCAATTAGCAGCTCGGTTGTATCCTATAAAAGCTTAATACTGCAGTATTCATTACTACAAGTTATCCTCAAGAGAGTCTTTCATAAATGAATGTGGCTCTAATTAACCGGCGCAATCCTATTTCTTCACAACAGCAGCACCTTCCCAGAAACTTCTTAACCAGTCTGCCCATCGCACATGTCATTTAACATCGGAACAGCGACAATTATTGATGGAGAAGCAGCAATGACGGCATTATCCTCGTCACCGTCACTGTTAGCATTGGCTCACAAGCTTTCTAATCCGGTAATATTTTAATTAAGAACTCGACGTTCTCCGCAGTTTCTCTCACTTCCTTCTCTTCCTCACTCCTCTTTCCTCTCCCATTTGTGTTAAGAGTAATGAACAGGAAAAAAATGGAACAAATCACTCAGATTCATCCATTAAATTTTAAGAAAAGTAAACGAAATTTGAGTGCTGCCATTATCAAATAAAACACGAAGAACAAAAGTCATGTTTGAGATTGCAAAGAAAGTAAATCAAATATGTGATCTGCTTAGTTTAGGATTGCATTATGATGTCCGTTGGCGCCTGTGAAGGATACATACATCGATTTCGGCCAATCAAAAAGATAAACCGTGCAATGGACAAGAGATAAAGAGGTTAGAGAGACAGATGCAATGGAAGATTTTATAAAACTTGAGGTCACAATATCCAAACAAATGCTACTCATGTCATGTCATTTTTGGATTATGGGTATAAAAAGAAATATGATGAAGGGATGAAATGAGAATTTGCTTTCATAATTTATCAGTTATACATGTAAGCATCAAATTTCAGCTAAATCAAATTAAGAAAGAGCAATACAGCAATGGTAATGTCTGCAGAATAAAAACAAAAAAAAAGTGAAAAGACAGCAAGAAGAAAAACAGGAGATATTAACCTGATGACGAGAAGAGGGTTCGAATGCATCATTTCCAAAAGCAATTTCTTAAAAAATAAAAATAAAAATAAAAAACATGAAAAAAGAAATGAAGGGGGTTGAACAAAGAGGAGAGGAAAAGAAGAGTACATTGCTGTGCAATAGGAACAATTTTCGTTTCTGTTTGGCTTCTTCATCTTCAAAAAATGATAGTAGCATCATTATCGGCTGTTCCTGGAACGTCTCCATCGTCATCTCCTTTACCAACACTTATCCCATCCTTTCCATCATTCCACTTTCTGGTACTGTGAATACTGCAGCTATCCAATCTGACCATAATCATCGCCATTAGATCATTTCTCAATGATCACACATTATTGTTATCATCATAAACATATCATTGTCGATTCATTTTCATTATTAAATATTATTCTCAAAATTACCTGTGTAAAATATCAGCATCGTGATATTAACGAAAAAAACTTGGAAATTTTTAATATTTCATCGTTTTTATTCCAACATACCAGACATGCAATACAACAGTTTGAAAAACATAAAGCTAAATTTTTGGAATTGTGGAGATTGGAAGCAAGTAACACTGCTGATTGCGATTTATTCAATTATTTTTTTCTATAACAATATAAAGAGAAACACACAGTTGAAAACAATTTTCCAGTCAAATTTTTAAATAATAAAGTTCTCATCGTCGTCTTCAAAACAGTAATGTTATAAAATTTACAAGAAAAAGAAGACAACGAAAATGAAAAATTCTGAGAAGCTTAGATTTGGAAATTTCAAGAAGCGACATTTCTTCTCTGTATTAATAATAAATTTATGATGGTGGGACACATAAAGGCGTTGCACACAATTAGAACTTCAGTGTCAAGGTGCCATAGTGGATTCTTTAAAGGACGAATTTTTCGTTTCCTTTTTGCTCGCCATCAAAATTTGAGGAGAAAAAATAAATTCTGTAACACAGAAAAATCAGATGGGTGCACTTTTTGAAAAGCACACTGTCAATTATCGTACACCAAATACATATAATGGA